AAAATTATATCTATTAAAATTATTGGTAAAGCACATATTCAACAGTAAAATTTTATTTTTCTTGAAATTTTAGTACCAGTTTTCTGTGGAATTTACATTTTTATCATGACGACAGCTAATATTTTTACACAGTTTTGTTATACCTGTTGTGATGTTATAAGTTATAACTTTTTACTAAATAAATAATTAAAAAAATAATTTAAACCTGTTAGATACATATACTGAAAGCAGATGAAAACAATTAACCATCGTTGCTGTATGAAACGATTACTTGAAATAAAATAAAAACTTGATGAGAAAATAATGTGAATTAAAGAAGTTAAAATAAATTTGTTGCTTTAGGTTTTCTAATATGTTCTAATATGTAATATATACAGGGTGATTCAAAGATGTCGGACCAACTCTTAAATGGTGAACATAAAAATTAGTTCAGATTTTTGTTACAAACTTTAAAAAAAACAACACTGTCAATTTTGATATTAGCGTCTCAGTTTTTTTGTTTTCGATGTTGTTACATTTAATTTATTCTTGAATTTGCTAGTTACTTAAATGTTTTTTACACCATAAGCCATAAATTGGTGATTTTTTCAACAGGTATTTGTTCAGTCTTACAAGATCTGTTAAAAGGTTTAACTGTATCCATACTTTTAGCGACCCTGTATTTTTTTTCATACAATACTTATCTATTTCAAATATTTGAAGTATATGACTCATTGATTGTGTTAAAAGTACACAGCGATGACCACTCATTGACACCCAATATTAAATTAGACCCTTGATAGTTAAATTAATGTACGAATTGCATGTTCAAAGAGTAAACATTTGTGACAAATAATCATTGGATAAAATTAGTGGTTAATTTAGAAATGCATTAAGTAGAGTGGCGCTAAAAGAAAGACATATTTCATACGATCGTGTTCTCTAAATAATACCTACAAGTGAATTTCTTGTGTTTTTAAGCACATTCTTAAATTATATAAATCATGACGGCTTTAAAAAAAAACAAAAATGAACTTTTGAGAAAAACAAGGAAAAGTGGAGTTTCGTGATTAACAATTTAATATTTAATGGTTCAGGATCGAAATCACAACCCTTTTAACGACGCTGTTTACAGTGTATCGCATTACTGCTACTTATAGGCCATTTAATGACATAAAATCTTAATGGAGCACTGAAACGTTTGCTTTTTCTTTCCATATTTTGTAATTTTCAGCACAACATTAAAACGACTCTTCAACACCCGCATAAAAATATTTATCCAATGTTAAAGCGACGAAAGGTGATTGAAAGTATTAATTAAAGTTTTCATAATTTATTGTACACAGAAGCAAAGTTCAAAGAGAAAAGAACCATAAACAAAATCAGTGTTTAAAAGCAACAAAATTAAAGGGTATTTTTATAGTCACAGCATATAACACTAACGATCGTTATCGTGCTAATGATCTGTTACAAACATCGAATAGTTTTAGCTAAAAGTCGTATACTAAATTTGCATATTTAACTAGTGGTGCGTGAAAATATTTACCCAATTAAATGTCCAATTGTTTATTTCATTCAGCCTGTAAATTGTTCAACAAACGTGGAAATTTTCACAAAACCAAACAATCAAAGATGCTGTGAGGGCATATCATCGCATATTTTATGAGGATAAATCTGTCAGTTTGTTTTAATATAACGTATAAATGGGTTTAATACTTTATCGAAATTGGCGCAGTTCTGCTATAAATAATACTTTAATTAGCAGACGGATTTAGGCGAAAGGATTCAATGGATCCTTTTAAGTTTAAGAAAATATACTACAAGAAAACTGTACGTTTAAATTTTACAGAGATCAAAAACATTACTAAAGAAATTACAAAGTTGATGTATTATTAACGAAAGCAATTTCGTGGGAAACTCCTGAGCCAATAAATAAATAATTAATCTTACTTTGTGATCACAAACATTAGAAAAATATTGCCGGCTTTTATATGAACCATCAATTAATTGATCACGCTTTGGATTTTTTGTATCACCCGTAGACATCTAAGTCTAAATATCAAAGGTAATTTCTCTGTGTTTGGAACATAATTTTAAACAAAAATCTGCAACTTTTTTATTTTTTTAAAACTAGAAATCGACGTATAAATACATAATAAGCAAATGTCAGATAATTTAGTTATAACGATGATTGATTATATTGATAAATTAGGCCAATAACAAATATTGCCACATGAGTACTCTAATTTATGCAAGTTTATATTGAAGTTTTATTATCATTGGTACAATAATCGATCTTCTATGACAAACGATCACTGAAAGTTGCTTATTTTTTTACGCATAATGGTAGATATATTTACCAATAAACCAAGAGCTGCTGGAAGAAGACTGTCTGTCATCACTTCAAATAAATCTACTATATTTTATTATAAAAAAAACATTTGAGTAAATCAGTATTTTAATAAATAATAAATTACTAAATACCCAACACTGACTTTGTGTTTTTTACATACCTAGGTACAATGTTTTTTATACAATTTTCAATTAGTGTGCATAATTATTAACAATTAAATTTAAATTAAATTTAACAATTTGAATTAAAAAAAAAGACTTTTAGAACAAAGTTAGAATAAAACACATTATTCCTACATAACCGGATAAAATGATTTAATACTTTCTATAGAAATATAATATTTTTCTGTAAAATACCAATATTATCCAATTTTCAAGTAGTGTTATCTCTTTACAAAAAAATTTAGCTTTTTTTATAGGTACAAAGTGTTTAGAAATGTGTGATCAAGTCGCCTATTCCGATTCAATGTGCCACCTAGTCTAACTGTTCAATTGTTTCTGCATACTGTCATTTCGGTCAAATTTTCTTATTAAAAGTTATGCTTTTTCCCAAACTTTTCATTTTTTTTCTAAATTAATTACATAATTAAATGACAGTAAAATGTCAAAACTGTTATGTTATCTCTCTTAACAGCACAAGTATTGTTATTAAAGGTCCCTTAATGCAATCGTTTGCGAAGTGGTTATTGCTATGGATAACATCTTAGGATAAAATAAACTAAAATTAACTAAATAAGCTTATACAGGGTGATTCAGATAAGATAATGAACCCGACGTTTTGGCGATGCAACCCAAAAAACAAATTTCATTTACGTTTTGATCTAATTTTAATTAAGATTTGCATTTGCAATCCAAGTTATATTATGTTGCTCTGACAGTGCAATTTATGATTTATAAAAAAAAAACTGTTTGTATATCTTTAATGTTTAATTCTTTCATACATTGTTGTATTGGGTTTACACCGTAAACGCGAGAGAACTGAATGGCACTAATGATCGTTCTCTGCACTGATGTCAGAGTGACATAAGATGATAACTTGGATTCAACTTGCCAATCCCAATTTAAATTGGATCAAAGGCGTAAATGGAATTTGTTTTTGGGTTGCATCGCCAAATCGTCAGGTTCATTATCTTATCTGAATCGCCCTGTATAGGGTGAATATAAAGTATATGGCACCAAGCGGTTTTTTTAATCGATTGCATCCAGAAAATAATAATTAATATAAATTAAACTAATATCAAAAAGGTAATCGTATTTTGAAAACAAAATTTTGTTTTGTTTTTGAGTTATGCGATTTTTTTTGTCAAAATTGTAATTTATGTATTTTTTTTTAATTAAATATAAAGTACATAGTTGTAATCTTTAGATCATAACCTTCATGAAAAAAAATTGGTTTTATAGTGCTCAAAAACAAACAAAAATTTGAAAAATTTTATTTTTGATAATTCATCACAATTTTATAGTACTTTATTGTTCATCAGATAATTTTTCCAAAAAATAAATAGTTTAAGCAAAAAATGTTTGGTTCCATACTTTTTATTCACCTGGTATAAAAATAATCGGTATCTTGTTTACAAGACTTTAAAAAGTATGAAAAGTATGTTTATTTGAGTTAAAGCAAAGTAAAATTTTGCAATTCTCTGTTTATTTATTTAACAACGTTCTAATATTTAAAGATGTCAGGCACGTATTAATGAACCTATGAGGTTCAAATTTTCAGTTTTTTGAAATTAAAATATTTTCAAAAAACTACGTAATAATTGTGAAACAAGCAGTCCTAAAATCGACGAAATAATTAATCCATGGTCTCGAGTGTAGACTTTTTTCCATTAATAGGTAAATGACAATCTATTCGTATAAGTACAGTTAATAAAATAATAAAAACATATATATTTCACAGCATATAAGTTCGAAAATGAATCCCATGAAAGTATGCAGTTGAAAAAGCTGTTTCAACACGTTTAACATTAGAAGGCTTCTTAAAAAAATGTTAGAACAAATAGGTTATCTATGAGCCCTTTTGTATTGACGTTTTTATAATTCTCTTTTCTGCGTTAGGTAAATATTGGTCTCCATTTACCAGTAACATAATTAGACAGTACCTACTGAGAAAGGAAAGAAACTATAAGTTTTGTAATTTATTTCACCTCAAAAAATGCAGTTGCTTCTTAAATTTACAATAGTGATTCTAATTCTTATATTTGTATTTAAGAATTTTTTTACGACATATAATTGACAGAACAACAATTTTTTATAAGTTAGATATTTAATTTAATTAATTCAGTGTATGAGAAGTACCTAAGGTTTTAAATTACATGTTTTTATTTTCATTTTCAATTAGATATGTTTTTTATTTTATTTATAATAATTAACTACTTTTTTTGATTGATTATTAGAATCAGACATACTCGTATTGACCGATAAAACCTTATCTGATACACTCTGTATAATACAAATAAGTAGTTAGTTTGTGTAGTGGAATATATTAGATTTGCTTAAGCTTATTACAATTATTATTTCGACTATACCTATTTGACTACTATTATAGTTTCCTCTGTTTTTTTTCCTATTGAATCAAATTTATAAATGACAAGGGAATTGTATTGTTGTTATTGGGTATAATACTCGTACAATAAAAGTGAGGAGAAAATGTTAATATGCATTCTTACCAAGAGGCGAGATGGAATCCGGCGGATCGCGTTCCCTACATCTAGTCCGGGGCACCCTCCCATGCCTCGACATGATAGCAGCAATGCTAAAGTCCGTGGCGCAGGGCCTCATGGTGCAGTTATCCTCCATCACCTCGTCGACCACATCACCACAGTGTCAGGTCAGGTCAGGTCAAGTCACAAAACCAGTAAACTCAAACACGTGAATGAGCAAACGTCGCCGCTACGACCGGGGGCGGCGTGACCGTCGTCTACATGTCATTTTAGGCACTTCCGTGTACTTTCACTAGATGTGAGGCAGTTTTCGCGCCGGCACAGAAGCAAGCTGTTTTGACAGAATGAATATTTAGATCCTTTTGACTCACATTTAACAAGATTACTTTGATATGCAGCGAAAGCATTCAGATTGGTTGCTCCCACTTCAAGAGGCGTTCCTCACTTTGCTCGCTGTAATTGATTATCAACGGCGCTCCGTTGTCTACAGCGACGCTGTTCAACGCCGACTGACCACTCCGTCGAGACGTTATCAAAGGAATGTGCCATTTTTTCGACGATTCTCCCCTCTGTCCTCGTTGATGACAACTCGCGACCGGCTTTGTTTTTACCTCCCCGATTGCACCTGGGCGGGCTGTATAACCTGCACTATCCGAGCCTTTCTTCTTCTCTGCTGCTTGATCAGACGAATTACGCGGGGTGGGAAGCAAGATGACACGCCCCAGGGAGGCGCCTACGACATGGCGACGCCTATCAACGAAGCTGGCCGATTGTTTTGGTGAACCCTTCTGATGCTTGCTTACCTGTACTACTTTAGGGACTAACGAAAATTATTTTCTCATCATTTTCACCCGCTATTACTACCTACTAGGTCAAAGGTTTCAACGCTTACTAAACGTCAACATCTTCAACAAAATTCATTCTATAAACACATTTAACACTTTTTTTATTTAAATAGATTTAACCAAGTCACGAGAATCGTACATTAAAGCCTTTACTATATTTTTAACAAACGTCGGACTTAACCTAAAATATTATTTTCATTATCGTTCCTCTAGATACATAATGTGAAAATTAACCTCAAAATTTTCAATAAATTCATGTTTTTTATAAAATTTCGCTGACGATCATGAAAAATGTTTTTCTATACACGTGCGCAGTCTTATTTTTCAAGTCTTCGACCTCCATTGCTTCGTGTCGCAAAATTCGGTCTCAGAAAAATAATTTCACAGCGCACTTGTATCGAAAATAAGTATTTTGTAAATAAGTAGGTATATCTATCTACATAGATAATTTAAAAGTATAGTTTTAGGTAATTAAAAACAGGGACATTATTTTAGAAGTTTAAAAAAATAAATAAAGAGCAAATTACAATATAGGTGATTTAAAGTAAAAATAATAGCAAATTAAAAATTAATTAATTAATTAATTAATTAATACCTACTGTTTCAATTGACAACCTAAAATTTCACTTAAAATTTTTGCGTCATTTTTACCATTGAATAACTAATTATAGCACTTTCAAAAGCTTGTTTTTTTTCATTCTTAATTTGCTTTGTATATAATTCTGCCAGATTTTCGCATCAGTTAACAGAAAACTTTTAAAAATGCCAAAAAATCTTCAGAAATTTCTTTTCTTTAGTTTAATAGCAAAATTATTGTGGTGAGACAACAATTTTTTTTAAACATATTTTAATTAAATCGAATAAAAAACTTTTCTTTTACTAGGTAAGTATGTAGGTTTAAAGTTTCCTGTTAACATAAGCAACAATAGTAGGCATATTAGAAAATAAATGTTACAAACACTCTCATTGTGTTACAGTGTACGAATAAATTATGTGAGTGTTTGTAACACCTGTTTTTATTTAAACCAAGTATTTTTAAAATTTGCCTTAACTTGTTTTTTAATATGTATACTATTTTTGTATTGAGCGTCATTTAAATAAATTTTTATTATACAGGGTGAGTCTTAACTTATACGCATAAATTTAGGGAAGGATCGTGTTTGTCCAATAATAATGAATAGTGAAAAAACGTTTTAGTAAAAGTTTTTTTTTTAGTTACCGAAATTAAATCAAAATTCAACTTTCAAATTTAAAAATAAAACCAAAATTATCATTATTTGGCCGAGCTCCGTATACTGGTAGACATCATCAACTTTTTTAATTTGACATTTAATAGTGACAATAAAAAAAAAGTTATGATAGATAACGAGTAAAATGCAAAATAAACTTTTTTTTCTTATGAAGATACCAACATCAATATTAGGTATACCTAAATAAATAGAACAATAAGTCCAAAAATCAAGTAATACAAAATTTAGTTGTTTGAATTTCGCTTTATAATTATATGACATTTGTCATACTGAATTGCCTTGAATTGGTGATATTGTGAAATGCTCAGTAATTGCTAGGACGGAAGAAAGAATGCTGGTCAGACAGCTTGCCCATAGTGCTATAAAATAAACAAAAAAAATTGTACCTACTTTTAAAATAATTTTATTAAATCTTTATCTAAAATAAATTATTAAGTTTAATGTTGCAAAATTATATTGACTTGCATTCGAATTACAACAGTTCTGGGAAGTGGAGGTGTCGCAACCTAGTTTACAAAAAAAAACTGTCCTATTTATTTATGTCTATTACTGTACCTAAATTTTCGATTTTTTCTATTTTTTTTTAAACTTTACTTATAACTTTAAACCTATACCTAGTATATGCAGCTAGTGATAGCAAAGGTATAAAATGTTGCCAAAAAGCAGTGTTACAAAGTTGCATTTTGTGCAACTGATTTTAGTTACACACAATGGTCATTGTGACACCGAAATAGAAAAAAATATTTTTCGACTTTTTGTGCCAGGATACTGAATAAATCTACCTAGAATAGTTATTTTTTCAACGAGTTTAAGTGTAAATTGGACGCTTTATTACACGAGTGAACTTTTAAACCACGACGAATGTTAACGAGTAATCCACGAGGTGGAATAAATGAACCGATTTTCACGAAGACGAGTTGAATATAACATTTTATTCTTCGAATTAGACACAACAAGATTTAAAATTGCTTTAAATCTGTTAAAAATAATCTGAGGTTTCGAATTGAGAAATGCCAAAACTTCCTTACACGGGAGAAAAAGCGTAAATTTTGATTTACATAACAGAAGTATAAAGTTGTACTTTTACTCCATGGCTCATTCCGAAAAACATTTGTCACTTTTTTGACATTTGTAAATAAATTTTTGGATCCATCTGAAAACTTTTGTGAATAAAAATATTTACAGTTTATTTCACGAACAGAATATACTTATTGTTGCCCTCTTGAAAGCGCGCTGTTTAAATAGGTACCTAGTAGTTTATCATTAGTGCATTTTTTACAGTTGGTTTCAAACCAAAACACAAAAATGCACTCTCTATGCATGCGTCAGTAAAAAGTTTGAAAGAATCAGAGTTTATTTAATTTTTAGAATTGAGTTCAAAACATAAAATAGAACATTGTTTAATGTTTATAATCTTGAATTGAATTAATTTTGAAGTTAAAAACTCGAAATTTCGTAGTATTCTTAAATTTGTTAAACGTTTAGCTTTGCCACATAAAGTGTCACTTTTACCTCTAATAATTAAATAACATAATCTACTATTTCTACTTTAAATTTTACAACAAAGATCAATTGGGCATATAGTAATGTAAAGTAATTTTTTGTATACAATAGCTATTTTACAAACTTCTTTGAACTCCCAAAATGAGTCTTTTTCAGACTCAATAAAATAGTAGGCAAAATAGTTATTTTGGATACTACAGTACCTAAAAAACAGTTGTTCCGAAAGAAAAAAAACGCTCTAGTTATACCTACTATGGTGATTAAAATTCGAGAAATTTTTGCTCTGATACGATTAATTATAAATAATACCTAAAAGGTGTGAATGTGTTTTTGGAAGCTTTAACAAAAAAATGCTGTTTGTAACACGTACCTAAAACGTTTTTGCAGGCTCATCTACTATTACATTAGACTCGGCGTCGCCTCGTCTGGAAACAGCAACGATTCGTCTGAAAAACTATTTTTTACGTACTTGTAACAAAAATAACTACTTATGTAGGTACTAAAAACAAAAAAAAACTTAATAATCAATATTCTAAGTCAATTAGTAGCAAATAAAATTAATATTTGTTTTTATAACAGGTCCAAAACAATAGTATATAAAACGTAAAACCAAAACAAGATCTGCTTAAAAGCAATCAACATTATAGTACCAAATTTTATTTTTAATTAGCTCATTAGTTTAAACAATAAGTAATTTCATTTACCGACATACTGGCACTATATTTTACTTAACAATCTTATTCATTTGTTAAAGTAAGAAATAAAATTATTAAACAATTATTACTTGATTGAAAAAACAATTTCGTTTTTAATAGACAAATAAAAAAAATAAGATTTACTCATATTTTGTGTGTCGTTATTTGCCCTCACATTTTTTATAATTGTCATTAATTTTAACTCTTGTATTCTTTATTGAAAAGCAGTTGAGTAAGTAAAATGTTTAGTTATTTTGTAAAATCAGAAATTGAGTCAAGTCGTCATATCGGAAATAGCAGGCAGACTCGTGGTGGACACCAGAACTTTACTGCATTTCACGGTTGGAAAGGTTTTTATTTATGAATCCAATAAAATCAGGAGGATGTATAGCTGTTACATGATCAACTGTTTTATGAGGCTTTGTCTCCCTTTTGCGCTAGTTCAGTAAAATAAGATTTGCTTCGGTCACATCCTCACATTCTGCGTGGACGTGGTCTACTCATCTTCAATTTTATTTCGGATTCGAAACAAAAGCTGATATTTTATTTCTGGGCAAATTAGCTACGTCTAAACCAGTAGTGAGTAATTTAAAACTTTAAGCTTCAGACTCATGTCCTGTAACAAAGAAAACTAAAAAATGAATAAAGTATAAATCTTTTAATTTGTCACTGTTTCTTGACCAGCATGCTTTCAGTGTGGGTGTATTTATGGTTTGAATATGTTAATCCACTTGTATTTGGAAATGCCACTGGCTTCTGTATATTTATTAACACTGGAATTCTTCTTATGAATTTATTAATTGTTAATTTTTATGCCGATGGTTTCCTGTCAACATAAATATGTTTTTTAAATGTGATTTGGTGACTCGGTCATATGACTTCCATTAACTATTTGCCACAGATGTAACAACGCCAACTCGCTCTTTATTTCTTCAGTTTATAACTCGTTAAGGCTGTTTTGCTTTTGTTATTGTAATTTTTATAGACACCACTATAAATCGTCTCTAGACAATTCAATCAAACTCCACCAAAAGTTATGCCCACAGTGTCATACGCCTTAGAAATTTAATTTACAATTTATTGAAAACTAATATCTACTAGCTGGACGTATAAATTACGCCCACTTTGTACATATATCGACATATAAATTGCAATTACTCTACCTACAAGATAATTTAGGAAATTTATATTTTCAGTTC